AGCTGTCCAAGTAGCTGGAACTACAGGTGTGCGCTACCACTCCCAGCTAATTTTTTGATTTATTGTAGAGTTGAGGTCTCGCCAAGTTGCCCAGGCGGGTCTTGAACCTGGGGGCTCAGGCAGTCCACTCACCTCAGCCTCCCAAAGCGCGGGATTACAGGCTGAGCCACCGAGCCTGGCTTTATTTTTATTTTTAAGTTGGAGTCTCACTCTGTCACCCAGGCTGGAGGGCAGTGGCACGCTCCTGGCTACCGCAGCCTCGACTAGCTGGGCTCAGGCAATCTTTCTGCCTCAGCCTTTCAAGTAGTTGGAACTACAGGAACACACCATGCCTGGCTAATTTTTTAATTTATTGTAGAGATGAGGTCTTGCCAAATTGCCCAGGCTGGTCTCGAACCCACGGGCTCAGGCAGTCCTCTCGCCTTGGCTTACCAAAGTGCTGGAATTATAGATGTGAGCCACTGCGCCCAGCCAGGAACTGATTTGTGTGTGTGTGTGGTATTTTAGAATTCCAGTATTAGGAATTCTTAGACTTTTTTTTTCTTTCCTTTTTTTGAGTTGAAGTCTCACTCTGTCACCCAGGTTGGAGGTCAGTGGCATGCTCATGGCCACCGCAACCTCGACCTACTGGGCTCAGGTGATCCTCCACCTCAGCCTTCCAAGTAGCTGGCGTAAGGCACCACACCTGGCTAATTTTTTGATTTACTGTAGAGATGAGGTCTCACCAAGTTGCCCAGGTGCGTCTTGAACCCCTGGGCTCAAGCAGTCCTCTTGCCTCTGCCTCCCAAAGTGCTGGGATGACAAGTGTGAGCCACCATGCCCTGCTAGAAATTTACTTTTAAGACTGTTTTTAAAAATATATAATCCGTGACTGAGTGTGGTGTCGTAGGCCTGTAGTCCCAGCACTTTGGGACGCTAAGTTGGGAGGATCGCTTGAGCCCAGGAATTCGAGGCAGTGGTGAGCTGTGATTGTGGCATTGCACTCTAGCCTGGGCTACAGAATGAGACCCTGATGCCAAAAAAAAAAAAGTATACACACACACACATACACACACACACACACACACACACGTATTTTCTTTTTTTTCATATTTTGAGTTCTTCCTGGTGTTTGCTTCCATCTTGTGGTTGTTTGATATTAAATATATATTTCTGTTTTCAGATACTATCGTGGAGCTGTAGGTGCCTTATTGGTTTATGACATTGCTAAACATCTCACATATGAAAATGTGGAGCGATGGCTGAAAGAGCTGAGAGATCATGCTGATAGTAACATTGTCATCATGCTTGTGGGCAACAAGAGTGACTTACGTCATCTCAGGGCAGTTCCCACGGATGAAGCAAGAGCTTTTGCAGGTTAGTGCTAGGAATTTCATGGTGTTGCAGTGATTTAAATATTTCTTACTGTTGTGTCTTGCAGTTTTGATGCCCTTCCAGTGAAGGTGATAGGTTATAATATTTTCAGAAAGGGAGATATGAATGCTCAGCAAGAATTGTTGTCTTGAAAGTTTGTGAGGACTGTGTGACTTTTTTGCTTAACTGCAAGTCATTAAAACACTAGTATTTTGAGTACTTACTGCAAAAAAATTGAATATAACATTGTGCTTCTTCTGATCTCTTTTTTCATTATGAACCTGTGTTTTCCCAAGGCTACTCTCTGTGGGTCTGAACAGTAGCAGCCCAGGGAGTTTCAGGGACCAGCAGGGGCGCAACTGCTAGGAACTGTGATTCGTGGCTTCACAGAGAGGGTTCACCTCTCTTGCTCCTGTTTTGGTGGGGATACTATTCCAGAAGGCAACGTTGTACCTTCTTTGCTAGTGAAAGTCTTGCTTTTGCACTAGTGATTATTTGTGACTTGCTTTCCATCATATTTTTTTTGGTTTTCTAGGCAAGAATAAGCGTTATTTCAAATATATTTTGATTTATTGTAGAGATGAGGTCTCTCCAAGTTGCCCAGTTGCGTCTTGAACTCCTTGGCTCAGGCAGTCCTCTTGCCTCCGCCTCCCAAAGTGCTGGGATGACAAGTGTGAGCCACCATGCCCGGCTAGAAATTTAGACTGTTTTAAAAAATATATAATCTGTGACTGAGTGTGGTGGCTTAGGCCTGTAGTCCCCGCACTTCGGGAGGCTAAGGTGGGAGGATTGCTTGAGCAATATAGTTAAATATTCTAATATAGTTATTCTAATATTCTAATATACTATATAGTTATATAGTATATATATATATTAGAATATAATGTAGTTATATAGTTCTAAGTGAATATAGTTACATAGTCATATTGTTACAATATAGTTATATAGTTCTGAGTAAATAATACAGTTATATAGTTCTAAGTGAATACTGTAGCTGTGTGATTGATGGAGAGGGAGTAGGGATGGAAATAGCTGGATGTTAATACATGTACTGCTTTTTGAATAGAGCCATTCATTGCCAGTGGTAGTATTTAGACATAACAGGTCTTTAATTAAGAAGCCAGTGAGTATTTCTGTTATTTATTTATTTTTTTGATTTTTAAAAATTTTATTTCTCTTGGTCTCACAGTCTTAAAGGATTGTTTCTAATCCATTAAAGTATAAATAGAATGGTGTCCTTATCGTCCCAGAAGTTGAAGAGGTCTTAGATTTTAAAAAGTTCCTGTTATTATTTTTTTTTTTTTGGCAGACCTGAATACATCACATTTCTTGTTTTAAAACTTGACTACATTTTTTGTTTCCCCACAGAAAAGAATGGGTTGTCATTTATTGAGACATCTGCTTTAGACTCTACAAATGTAGAAGCTGCTTTTCAGACAATTCTAACAGGTAAAGCTTGCATTTTCAGATTATATCAGTGGGATTAAGATTTAGGAATGTAATTTAAACAAATTAATGGGTAACTAAACTGTATCCCAGCTTCTGAGAATGACTGTCATTTGAGAGATACTATAGCAAGAGCTGCTGGAAGGGCAGAATTAGTGGCAGTCCTTGCACTTGGAGCTCTCATCTTAATTCATGGGGGTATCATGGAGAAATACTTGAATGATAAATCGTTCACTTCCATTGTTGCTTCAGTCCATCTCTGTTAATACTGCAGTTCCATGCTTCATGGTTAAAACCAGTAGTGTTTAAATACACTTTCTAAGGTAGATATTGAAATCCTACCTATGGAAGGATAGAAATGCCCTTTTGAAATTCAGTAAAGACAAGCTGGATACGGTGGCTCATGCCTGTAAACCCAGCACTTTGGGCAGCGGAGATGAGTGGATTACCTAAGTCCAGGGGTTCAAGACCAGCCTGGGCAATACATCAAAAAATTAGGTGGCCATGGTGGCACATGCCTGTAGTTTCAGCTACTAGGAAGCCTGAGCCCAGTGGCTGTGAGCCTGCCACTGCACTCTAGCCTGGGCAATAGAGTGAGACTGACTCAAAAAAAAAAAAAGAAATTTAGTAAAGACAAGAAAAGGCTAGGCTAGAAAAAATTACGTATTTTAAAAATTTAAGTGAAAAAACAAAAAGTAAAATTCTCATATGATGTAGTGTAGAATAAGCAAAGTATCACTTCTAAGTAAAATTAGCTAGTGATTACATATGGAAATGTTTAAAAAGTAACAGGAAAAGGACTAAGTTCATCCTATTTTGGAATGTGGATGACCAGCTCTGTCTCTGAGGTAAGACTTTTATTTTGTGTTGACTCTTTTTTCTGACTTTATTAGAATTACCAGATTATCAGTAAATTTAATCTTAATCCTCTAATAAGTACATTGGTAGGTTGTTTTTAAGTACTTTAAAATTGTATATTTTAAGAACTCATTATTTAGAATATAGTCTTAATGTATAATACAGAATTATGTGGCACGCTCTAAAAAGTCTATATGGAGATATGGTTAAATAAATGAATTTCCAATTATAATTTAACAGGTTTTTTTTGGGGGGGAGTCTCAGTCTATCACCCAGGCTGGAATGCAGTGGCATACTTACAGCTACCCCAGCGTCGACTTGCTGGGCTCCAGCGATCCTTCTGCCTTGGCCTTCCAAGTAGCCGGAACTACAGGCATGCACTACCGTGCCTGGCTAATTTTTATTTATTTATTGTAGAGATGAGGTCTTGCCAAGTTGCGTGGGTTGATCTCAAATCCGTAGGCTCAGGCAATCCACTTGCCTTGGCCTCCCAAAGTGCTGGGATTACAGGCTGAGCCACCAAGCCTGACCAATTTAACAAGTTTTAATTTATTTTTTGTATGCAGCACTTTTATTGGAGATAAACAGATTCTAACTTTAATATACTGTCTTACTTTACTGTAAAAATGTAGGGAATTAAACCTAGGCATTAAGAGCATAGATTTGGAAGCCTGACTTGGTTTCTAGCACTGGCTTCTCCGCTTACTACTATCTCTGTAATCTTAGGCAAATTACTTAATCCTTTTAGACCTTAACTTCTTCATCTGTAAAATTCAAATATATTTTGGGGGAGTTTTATTATTCTCTTTTTGAGAGAGAGCCTGTATTTATAAAGCCTTGTGATAGGCTTTGACTTGTCTTTGTCACCTACAGAAAAGAATGGTCTGTCCCTGAGATGTCTGCTCTAGACTCTAGATATGACTAGAGTTAGTGCCTGCGAAAGTACTTAGCTAGGACATAGTGACCATTGGATAAATTAGTAGCTAAATGGCAATTGAGGCATGAAAAAACACTTGTTAAAAATAAAACAGGTCCAGGCTCATGCTTGTAATCCCAGCACTTTGGGAGGCTGAGGTGGGAAGATTGCTTGAGCTCAGGAGTTCGAGACACGCATAGGCAGCATAGTAAGACCTTGGGTCTCTACCAAAAAAAAAATTACAAAAAAACAACGTAAATATGGGTGTGGTGGCTCATGCCTATAATCTGTAATTCTGGCACTTTGGGAGGCGGAAGCTGGAGAATTGCTTGAGCCCAGGAGTTGAAGACTAGCCTAGGCAACATAGTAAGACTCTGTCTCTACAAAGAAAATAATAAAAAAAATTATCCAGGTGTAGTGTGGCGCTTGCCTATAGTCCCAGCTGCTCAAGAGGCTGAGGTGGGAGGATTGCCTGGCCCAGAATACTGAAGCGGTGGTTGCCATGATTGTGCCACTGCACTCCAGTTTGGGCAACAGAATGCGATCCTGACTCAAATAAATAAATAAATAGATAAATATTGATAATTTACATTCCTATGTTATTAAATTGTTTTCCGTTATCAGAAGAATAGTGACTCAAATAACTGGTGTTAGGGTCAGATCAACAGTCCTGGACACAGTGACTTTCCTCAGTGCCATCTCTGTCCAGTTCATGACAGGTTGTTTTAAGCAAGATTTGACCAAGTGTGCAATGTGCCTTCAAGTCCTACTTTTTTCCTTTATACCACACATGTGAATAGCATACTGGATGGAGACCCAGGAGTTCTAGGGCTGTACTTTTACCACTTAGCTCTTATCCCCTGCATGACCAAAGTCATGAGCCTCCCTAGTCCTCAGAGTCACAGTCTTAGGACATCCAGTAAAATCACCTTGAAGGGCTGTGAGTCTCTTAAAGCTTCTGAAAGTCTCATTTGAAAAAATTTCAAAGTCCTCATCATTGTGATATTTTTTATGTTCTGTCGCATCTCCTCTGCTATCATTCTGGTCCATTTATTCTGTTAGTAAGCCTGCAGTTAACTGTTGTATGTGTTATTTTGTAGCATTGAACTTTTTTTTTTTGAGTTGGAGTCTCACTCTGTCGCCCAGACTGGAGTGCAGTGGCCGCTCCCGGCCACCACAGCCTTGACCTGCTGGGCTCTGGTGATCCTTCCGCCTCAGCCTTCCAAGTAGCTGGAACTACAGACGTGCACTACCATGCCCAGCTTATTTTTTGATTTATTGTAGAGATGAGGTCTCGCCAAGTTGCCCAGGTGGGTCTCGAACCCGCGGGCTCAGGCAGTCCACTCACCTCAGCCTCCCAAATGCGCGGGATTACAGGCTGAGCCACCGAGACCGGCTAGCATTGAACTTCTGATCCACTCAGACATGACTAATGAAAAACCGTTGATATATACATAACATTATGCTTTTTGTCCTTAATATGAAGAACATCTGGCTGTTTTTCTTAAATTCACTCTAGATTGAACTTTTGTTACTGCTGAATTGTTTGAAAGCAAAGTAGACTTGAGTTTCACGTAATACCACTCTTCCTTTCTGAAGTCACTGTTTCCTTGGCTTCCTGCATAAATCTCACTGGTGAGCTATAGGATCAGAGATCACTGCATATGGCAGTGGACATCTGTGCTGTTCTACAAATGTTAGGATATTTGTTCTAAACTTTCTTCCTCCTGTGTGCTCGTGGGAGTATTAATGCATAGAAAAAACAGGAAAGAGAATAGTAACCTCATTAGGCTTAATTCTCCCTTAAATATTAACAGTATTACGGTAGCATTTACATTACATTTTGGTATTGCTGGAAGAATAGCCACTAATTTTTAAGTTGTAAAATTATGTATTGGAATCTTTACCTACATTGTTACATCAGAGTTAACTGTGGTGTCTGTTTTAGAATAGAACCATGGTGTTTTTACATCCTTGAATTTGACCTTGACCCCATGAGGTGACTTGTGGATGCTATTTTCAGAGTTAGTCACCTAGTACCAGTAAGCATGGCATGTTGCTTAGCCTTTGCATCTCTGTCAGCTTTGTTTTTCTTTCTCAAGTTTTCATACCCTCTTTTTTTTCTTTTAACTTTGTATTTTGGTCACTTCCCAGGCTTAAGGCAGATACCCTTCATCTACTTCCCTCAAATGTTAACATTTGTCACATCTGCCTGCTCCTCCCCATCCCCCCAGTATACCTCTTCTTTTATGTGCCATGTGAGAGGAAATGCCAAATATGGTCCCCTCTTGCCCAAGTACGTGTTAGGATGTATTTCCTAAAAACAAAGACATTCTCTCTTAGAGCCATAGGATAGTGATCAGAATCAGAGAGCCGGACAGTGGTGCCTCATCAGCTTCTATATACAAACCTGATTCAGTTTTGCCAGTGGATCCACCAAACAAAGTCAGGGTCAGATCAGTATCTCATTCAGCACATCTCTGTAGGGGCTCTGATCTGCAGCAGTTCCTCAGCTTTCTTTTGTTTATTGACTTTGGCGTTTTTTGAAGGATCTAGGCCAGGTATTTTGTTGTGTCTCTCAGTCTGGGTTTGTCTGGTGCTTCCTTGTGATTAGATTCTAGCTGTACACTTGGCAGGAGCACCGTAGAATTATTCTCACTGCTCCCACCGGGAACTCCTGATCGTTGGATTGTCTTATCACTAGTGATGTTGACTCAGATCACCTTAGTTAGGGTGATGTCTGCTAGGTTTCTCCAGATAATAAGTTCAAGATATGTTTTCAGTATGGAGACTGAATTATTTATTTTGTGGTTAAAATAATTTTAATGGACTTAGCATATTGACTCTTTAAAGTGGGGCCAAAGTATTCAGGCAATAATTTTTTTAGAGTAGTGAGACTCTTTCAGTTAGATGTAGCAGTAGCTTTGTTTTTGGCATGTGGCAAAAATCAGAAAATTTTGACCTTCAGGAAACTTATGTGGTGAGCAGTGGTGGGATAACTCAGTGGTGGAATAACTTAGGCCTATGTTGATTTCACTGTGTTTGAAGGGACTGAAGAATTTAACTTGTTTTGTTCTAATTTGGAACAGTTGCATTTAACTTCTTAGAATTACTTCCAAATTGATTACCACTTTCATGAGGGTAGAGGTGGGCATATATCCTTTTTATTGAGTGAAATACAGGTAAAATCTTGCCTCATTGTATTTAAAGCCTGCCTCTCCCCTCTCCTCCCCCCTCTTGTTGGAGTCTCTCCATCGCCCAGGCAGGAGTGCAGTGGCAAGCTCACAGCCACCCCAGGGTCGACCTGCTGGGCTCAGGCAATCCTTCCGCCTCAGCCTTCCAAGTAGCTGGAATTTCAGGCATGTGCTACCTAAAGCTTTCTTATGTTGCTATTTTTACTTTGTATTTGAGTCTCCTACAGGAGAGCTCTGAGTGATGTAAGAATGGTAAACAGGGTTCCTTTCTCCTTAACTTTTGCCTGACCTTGGGACATCTTGAGAAGCACTATGTAGGAGTCCTTGCCTCTAAGGAGAACCTGCCCTTGAAAGGGGGAAGTGCTTCTGGTTGAGCAAGTATCTGGCCCCGCCCACCCACACACCCAAGTGCTTTCTCTAATCAGATAGGTAACAGGTACCTGCTTCCTATTTTCTTATCAGGGTTTTTTTTTTTTTTTTAATGATACACCCAGCTAGAAGAGACTTAAGTGAAAGTTAATTATGTAGCCTCTTAAGCCAATCATATTGAAAGAAGAATTATGTCTTTATTTTCTGACCAACAACTTTTCTTTTTCTGTATTGCTTTGTGGCATTTTTATTAGCAAAAAAAATTTTTTTGGTAACTGGAGCAAATGCAGTAGTAATCCAGGTCTAGAAAATAATGTGCTGTACTTGTGGACAGTCACACCACACTGTCCACGTTCTTGCCTGGAATGAGATCTCTTTAATTATTTACTTCTCTGCATTCTCTGAAGAGTCTGCCTTTGCCTCTCTTATAGTATTATGTATATTTGCTTTCTGTATAAGAACTTGCATTTTTTTGGTTTTGGTTCCCCTAATTTAATCTTTAAAACAACTTGTAAAGAAATTAAAATGTACAGGGGTTCACATATTTGATCATTTATACTTGCAGACACAGCCACCCAGTATGGGATTAGAGGATGCATCAAGGGGAAGTTAATGGCTATCTTGTCACCTCTAGTCTGAGTGGGTGTCTGGAGGGGAGTCCTGCTCTTTACCCTAGTCTAAGTGGGTGCCTGAAGCAGGGATCCTGTTCTTTACCTGAGGCACATCCCCCCACATCCTTTTCATTGAGAAGAGCCTGAATAACGATTCCCTATCCTTTGTGATTTTTTTAACATTCTGTACTCGGATGTCCCTTCTCAGGGGACATAAGGTGATTGCTGGTGATTATACAGGACAAACTTATACTTAGCACAATTTAAAAAAAAAAATGTATGTTTCCTTGTAGTTTTCCACTAAAATTGCATGGAAAAGCAAATAAAGAGATGGACTACAGACTGAGATGTAGGTAAAAAGAAAATCAGCTGACATTATGTAGAAAGAGAATGTGTGAAGTGCTTTCACAGTGGTGCACAGACTAGAGAATAAATTGCATATTATTAATGTGGGAGAAAGAAAACGAGACTATTTTAATAGAAAAACACAGGTGATACATGTACAACATGTATCAATGAACCTGCAATGTATGTGGTGATTGCTTTACACGTTACCATGTTAGAAAAATATGAGATATAACATTTTGGTTTTTTTGTCATAAATAAGTTCTTCAATGTCCAAAATTCCATTATAAGCCAAATATCATTACAGTAAAATAATGGGTTCCAACGCTATACTATTTGATATGAAGTGATTAATTTTTAATTACTTCATGAAAAAGTGCAGTTGAGTTGCTGGTGGGCGATATGTGAGATGTCTCCAGTGCAGAGTTAAACTTCCGACAGTAGCCTGTTTACTGTAACCTGGTGTTTTCCTTGCTACTTCTTCACATTGGAACCACTGTCAGCCTTCTCAGGCATACGTTTTAACCGCCTTCCCCACCCCCAACACGAAAAGTCTAGGAAAAGGTGCACTTGCTGTCAGTGTTTTTGTTCATTTGCATATTCAGTTGACTACAGCTTAGTTTTAACGAATTCTTAATTTGGAGGAAATGTAGTAATTCAGTTCATGTGTTTCTTTTTAACGTTTTGTTAGGGAGAGTGTCTGGCATACCAGAAGTAGAATAGTATGAGCACCTAATGTGGCCATCAACAACCTCCATCTCATGACCAGTCTTGCCTCCACCAGCTTCCTCCCCCATTCCTTGGAAACAAATCCCAGATATCACATCCTTTCATTTGTAAATGTCTTGGGATGTATATCTAAAAGATTAGGATTTAATTTATTACAGCAGAACCAATTACAGATTGACAGTATTCTTTTTTTTTTGAGTTGTAGTCTCACTCTGTTGCCCAGACTGGAGTGCAGTGGCCACTCCCAGCCACCGCAGCCTCCACCTGCTGGGCTCCGGTGATCCTCCCTCCCGCCTCAGCCTTCCAAGTAGCTGGAACTACAGGCGCACGCTACCACGTGCGGCTAATTTTTGATTTATTGTAGAGATGAGGTCTCGCCAAGTTGCCCAGGCGGGTCACAAAGACAGTATTCTTTATGATCTATTATTTAAACAATATTAAAATTTCCTGTCCCAGATAATGTTCATATTGCATTTGCTTGATCTAATGTTGGAGCACTTTGAAAATATGTTTCTATTTTCTCTTTTATACTCTATAACTTCATATTTAAAATTTTTTAAAGTATTACAGAAATAAAATAGTAAAAACCCATTGTACTCTTCTTCTGGAATAACCAATAGTTAACAATTTGCCACATTTGTTTATCTCTCTTTGTGTGTGTGTGTGTACGTGTACGTGTACGTGTACATACACATATACTCCCTCCCCCCATTTAGTCTTTGGAAGTAAATTGTAGACATTGTGGCAGTTAGTTAGTAACTACTTGAGCATTTTATCTCTTAAGAACAAGGCATTCTTCCACATAATCACAATGCTGTATGTCATATCAAATAAATTTAACATTTATATAATTTTATTGTGCAGTCCATATTCAGATTTCTCTGATGTATAGTAATGTCCTTTATAAATTCATTGTTTAATTCTTATATCCAGGACCCAGTCAAGGACCACACATTGCATTAATGTGTAGGAGCCACAGGAAATTCCCCTTCACTGTCTGAAGGATACTAAAAAGTCAGCCTACAAAAGGCAGATTAATTGGAAAAAGACAGGAAACATTTATTCACATGTACACAGGCAGCACCAGAGTGATGACCTGGCAAAATGGGTTGTGGGGGAAGAGGAATTCTATTGATGGAGTTAGTAGGGAGAATGAATGGGTACAGAGATTGATTAATTTTTACAGTATCTTCTGGATGGGTCTGTTTGGTGTGGTTGCATTCTTGGTCTTACAGGGAGAGGAAGAAGAAACAAATGATCCTTTGGCGGTGGGTCTGAATCTTGGGCCGTTGTCCCATGCTTTGGGAGAGACCTGATGGCTTTTTCAGGTCAGCATGTCAGAGCACCATATTGTGGGTATTCTCTGGAATGTTGGACAGAGAGTAGCCACAGGTTGCTGTTGAGCATTTGAAAATAGCTAGCAGATGAGAAATCAGATTTTGACTATGATTTATTTAATTAAAATTGGTGGCTAGTGGATAGCACAGACTCAGAACATTTATCCTCATCTCATTCTGGATTTATCCAATTATTTCCTCATTATTAAATTCATTTTAAACATCTTCGGTAGGAATACATTGTGTTCTCTGTAAGTCACTATGAAGCTTATCATGTCACTTCTTCCCAATTTTGGAATCTCCTCGCTTTTTGAAGGGGCTTTTTTTTTTAGAGGGAAGTCTGGGGGGAATTAAGATAAATAAGATACCTTCTCTGTTTTAAGGACTATATAATCTAGTTAGAGGGAACTACTTTTAGGCAGTGCAATATAAGACCAAGTAAAATACGTTAAATACAGATACTGTATCTGTATACAGGGATTTAATGACATTTATTCATGCAGTTATTTATCAAACATCTGTGCTGCATGCTGCTGGACAGTGGTGAGTCAGGCAGGCATGGTTTTGGTTCTTACAGAGTTTAACATTTAGTGAATAGGCAGGCACTAAATTAGTGTTGGTAAGTGTCATGAAAAAAAAATAGAGTGTGGATATAACATCTTAAGTTGCCAGTTTTGAATTATTTAATTACAATTTAACTTTAGTTCTGTAGATCACTGATAAACACACATTTCTTCTTTCCCTTCTAAGACTCCTTTGGGGTTTTTGCATGATTATAAAGTTGTACTCATCCCTGCACAGCCTGAAAAAATACCTGATGTATCTCATATTATGGCTTATTTATTTATTTTTTGTATGGCATGCTGCCAATGTATGTAGGTATGTGGGGTTTTTTTGGGTTTTTTTTGTAAAGGCAGACTAAAAAATATTGTTAGGGTTTAATTCAGATCTCAGCCCATAAACTGTGTAATGCTCTTTAAAGTAAGATTTGACTGATGAACCTTTCCCTCTGAAGTAGAAAAACCTGTTTCTTTCTTACCCTAAGGGAAATTGTTAAAATAATGGGTTGACTCTAATCAGTTTCTGTTTGAAAACACAACTTTAAATTTTTATATACTCTGTTCAGTTTGTTTGTGATCTGTGTTGCAAATGTTTTTTATGCTAACTCCTGATGGGTTTATTTGCACTAAGTATGACTGTTTCTTTTTATCATTCAGAGATATACCGCATTGTTTCTCAGAAGCAGATGTCAGACAGACGCGAAAATGACATGTCTCCAAGTAACAACGTGGTTCCTATTCATGTTCCTCCAACCACTGAAAACAAGCCAAAGGTGCAGTGCTGTCAGAACATCTAAGGCATTTCTCCTCCCTTAGAAGACTGTGTATAGTCCATTTCCCAGGTCTGAGATTTAAATATATTTGTAATTCTTGTGTCACTTTTGTGTTTTATTACTTCTTCATACTATGAATTTTTCCATGTCTTAAGTCTTCTGATTTAAGCTTTATAAAATCATCTACTTGTCCCGAATGACTGCAGCTTTTTCATGTTATGGCCTCACTAGCCTTAGTTTAATAAACTGAATGTTTGGATTCCTCAGTTATTGTTTACTTTTCATCTTGGAGCCTGTCACTGTAGGACCTAATAGAACTTGATCACTTGAAGCTCGGACCTATTGGTCTGGATCAAATCAAACTCAGAAGACCTTAGACATAAGCTATCATTTTGCCACAGAGCAGCTTGTGAGTAATATACTCTTCTCTCAGTGCAGTGTCTATTTCCACAAATGTAAGAATTGCCCTATAAACATAGCAGGATTTTGAGAGCTTGGAAATTTTCCATTATTCTGGAAGTCAGTTTCTAAAATGCCTTAATAGTTTATATAGTTTAGTAAACTTTACTTTTTAATTTTTATTAACATCAAAGTTGATTAGAGAATGGCTCTTCTTTTCTGGACAAGAATTATTTTAAACACAAAGGATTGTTAGGGTTTCATTAGTGGTATGGTTAGGGGCATAAGTTAAACAGTGCTGCCTGTCAGGCTGGGCCCTGGAGAGATGGGTGGAACTCCATGGGAGGTGCCTCTGTTGCAGTGATCGGGCAGCCCAAGTCATTGAAGTGATCTCATTTCCCAGCAGATTTTGTGGCATTTTATTGCTCAGGCAATAACTGGTTTACTGCTGATGGTATCAAATTTTGAAGTATTTTGTCTTAAAATCTTCCAGTAAGTGAAATGCAACCTAGTTTTATCACCATATCCACCAGCTGGCATGGATAATTATTTTAACAATGCTGACGTTTGAGTTTTGCAGTATATTATAGAATATAGTCCAGTTAAATCTTCGGTTTCAGTATGTCTAAAGAATACAGTGAGAGGTTAATTTCTACTCAAGTGGTACCACTTAAAGGCATGTATTCTTTTAGTATGTAAAATGAAATAGTACCTTGAGTTTAAATAGAATGCATTACGCAGTGTAGAGACCTGAAATAGTTTTCTTCTACTACATTATTGGAAATCAATGGAGCAACTAGTTTCTCATTCAAAAGTGTGCACACTAATACTTGGTTTTGCTTTCTTGTGGGTAATATTAAGCACTTACTCTGCAGTTTTCTGGAAGTTGTATCAACTGCAGTGAAGCTATTCAGGATGATGGAATACCCTAAAAATATGTATGTGGGCTTGCTTAGACGACTGTGTTTTGTAGTTACCCTGTGTCTTTTGCGGTGCTCATGATGTGTGGGGCACACGGAAGGCATTGCTGTAGTTGGTCATTTTGGTTTTATTAGTGTATTAGTTATTAAGATACTATTATCTATTTGTAAATTGCTACTTTGTATTTTATGCATGCTCTGTAACTTGATTTTTTTTTAGCTATGATTTGGAATATATTCACATTCTAATAAACAGTTATAGGGGGATTATTTCTTATGTTGTCAGATTACGTTTTTCCTTTGAGTGCTTTGGATACAGCCATGGAATACTTGGTCCTGATATGTCAGAGCATAGGTCTTCGCATTACCAGGTAAACACTGAAGTCGGGGCATTGGTGTGTGAATGCAGCTTTGTTCTTAAACCTGCAGTTCAGTTATGTTTTTCTTGGAAAAAATAATACCAAAAATATTAGGGAGGTAGTCTCTTTCATGCATAAGTGTTGCCAGGCCCAGGAAAAGACTTTATCTCTATTTTATTCAAAATATGTAGTAAAATTTTTTATTAAAAAAGAAAGAGAGAAACTAGGTAATGAATTGAAAATGAATCAAGTGATTTTGGATTTTTACCAAGTGTCGATGTCACTGTTGCCTTGGGTATACTTGGATCTTGGGAGAATTTCAAAAAACATTAGATATTAGAAAATGACTTGATTGCATTTGAAAAGTATCTTCATTCTTAATATTTAGGGAACAAATTGTAAGAAACAATAAGTTTTAAAATATTGTGACAATTCAGGACTCAAGGAAATTTAGAAGTATTTTGCTACTAGACCCTGATTTTTGGTTATTTTAACTGAATTTTTTTAACCTTTATTCTCTTGAAAAGTCAGCCATGGGTGCCTTGATTTAAACCTATATGTCACTGTTCTGAAATGCGCTCTATGATTTCTAAGTAGTAGTTGTCACTATGTAAGGGTAAGTTGTCATTTGCCATTGCGCTGGGTATGCCAAGCTGTAATTCTAAAGAGGGGCCAGCCTGTAGCTTTCTGCCTGAGATCCTTATGCTTTGGAGGGTGCTGCCGAAGTGAGACAGGGAAGAGTTTGGATTGCCCTTCATAGCTAGTCATTGGGAAAATGTACATCTTAATTTTTGTCTTCACTGACTTGTATTTACAATGTACAAAATGCTTTCAACGGTTTGAGCTGTCATGTTAATCTCTTCCATCTACCTTAACGAGAAAAGTTGTACTATTTAGACAATTTTGACCAACATCAGATCCAGAAAAATTGCAAGTCTGGGAGATAATTAAGAACTTATCTTAGCCAGGCTCGGTGGCTCAGCCTGTAATCCCAGCACTTTGGGAGGCTGAGGTGAGTGGATTGCCCGAGCTCGTGGGTTCGAGACCCACCCGGGCTACGTGGCAAGACCTCATCTGTACAACAAATCAAAAAATTAGCCGGGCGTGGTAGCGCGCACCTGTAGTTCCAGCTACTTGGAAGGCTGAGGTAGAAGGATCGTGGACCCCAGCAGATCAAGGTATCCAGTCTGGTGACAGAGTGAGACTCTGACTCAAAAAAAACCCCCAACCCCCCCCCCAAAAAACAACTTATCTTTACCTGTTAAGATTTTAGTTTATTGAACTTATTTTGTTTTAACAGAGGAGAAAAATAGAAATTGATTTTCTGATGTGTCACAAATATCCTAAGCCTGGAAAATAAAACAAAATACGAATTTTGTATAGGATTGTGTGGGATCTCCATTTGCAGATACATGAACAGAGACTGTCAGGTACCTATTCACGTCATGTAGTGGGCTGGGGACGGCCACAGGGAGCAGTGATATGGGGCTGGGGCAGAGCGGGTCCTCTTCGGGCACTACACCCCTCTGGGACAACCGGGGCTGTCATTCTAATGCTTTAAAGAAGGGTTATGTCCCCAGACTGCAAAGCTGATGGCAACAGCAGAGTGAAGGGAAATGCTGATGTCATTGCAGCTTGTAGCTTGACCGTTAGGCTAAGGGCTAGGTTTAATTGAAGGTATCCCATTTTCCTAAAACTTGGAGAACAGAAGAATATTTGAAAGGATATTGTATACTAGACATAGATTTGAAAAGATGCTAAACAATGTGGGTTAAAAGTTGCAAATGGGGGGTGTGAGTCAGCATTGTCCTGAGTGACAGAGAGCTTCTGGTCCCATCTCTCTCGCTGTCACTTTGTTTCTGAGCCTCACATTCGTCAGTCACTGAAGGCTCTAACTCTGATTCTCTGAATGAACACTCTCTTTTACTAAAGCCAGATTACTAACCTTCTTACTAAAGTTTAAATTTAATAGATAGTCAAAATCAGGTATATACTTTGCAAAATGTTTTTGGTTTATCACAGTAACTTGATTGAAATGCTATGTTTATTTCCATGTTAGCGCCATTAAATAAGTTGAAATCTTTCAGGACACTTGCAGAGTAACTGTCAGTGTCAACAGTGTGCATCAGGGTACCTGCCACATGTGCTGAGGGAGGGATACTTGGCGGCTGCTGTGCCACCTGTAAATTGAGAGCTGCTTGTGTATGGCTTTTGCTGTAAAAAAAAAAAAAGTTCTGCTGATTTTTAACATGTGCTTTAGACATCATTCATGTCTGGGAGAAAACTTTTTAAAACATTTTGTGTTTAATTTCTGAAAAATTATTATCTTTAATAGGAATCCACAGGAAGATAGACAAAGCTTACTGTCCAATAGAACCAGTGGTTAAACCCAGGGGTGTGTGTGCATTTGTATGATAGAAATGGCATTTGGGGGCTGTTGATGTGTGGCAATCTAATGTTAGTAGTCTAAACATTACTTGAGTTCAATTCTTTATTATTTATTAAGTATAGGATTGATAGCTTCTGACAAAGATGTGATCGTCGCATGTCGTGTATATTAGCTGTTAACTGCTCTGTTACCAGCACCAGTGATGATGGTGAGGATTGGCAGACTTCCTTTCCTGTGCTTGAGTCAGGGGAACTTGACCTTGCCCAGACCACAGACTCTCAGCTTTTGTGACTCCATCCCAGTGAGTCTCACCTGCTGTCAGCACCACTCCCCATCAGCAGCCTCTGGGTTCCAGCCTACTGTGTTCTTGGATGTTTCGGAAGTGGACCGGCCCCTCGTCGTCGCTTGGGCACTGACCACTGTCCTGGCCTCTGTGCCCCAGTCTCTCATCACACAGGCCCAAGGAAGCCACAGGGGAAGGTCATGCTTGAGGTGGGACAGTCTGGGGAGCCTGGAAAGCAGCGCCTCCTTTGAGGTGAGGTCAGCTCTGGGAGGCAGTTGGGGGTCTCGGTTACTGCTCTGGTTTATGTGAGTGGCTGCCTAAATGACCGCCTGTGCTCCGTCAGATCTCAAGTTCCCAAGGCTCTGGAGGGCCACATACCTGCTGGATGCTGGCGCAGAGGCAGAAGCTGGAGTGGGGAGGGATCTGACCACAGAAGCTGGAGACCAGAGCTGCCATGCTGTGGGCTCAGACTGGACTGTGCGCAGTGCCTTTCCAGCTTGCAGGTCAGCACCCGCAGACCATCAGGTTCTCCATGCATCCCTGCCGTGGGGTCACTGCTGCACCGCGATACCCACAGAGGCAGAGAACAAGCTTTGTTCATTGCTTGGCGTCCTTGACCCGAAGATCAAAACCTGAGTGTTGATGTAATGACGTGTGTGGAAAATATCACACGTAATTTTGTGCGATGGTTTGTGGATGGAATGCAGGCATACACTAGTTTGTTCTGTGTCCCCGGGAAACATACAGCACCCTTTAGTCACATTGCACAGCATTGTGTGGAGATGGGGCCTGCTATCCATGTCCAGCCATGATGCAGGTGTTCTGGGATGCTCATGCTGCCTAGCCACCTGAATGCAGGACTTCTGCTATAGTAATGGGATGTCATGTTTTTTCTGTGAAGTATGTGTATGAGAATAAGTGTGAGAAAATGAGTGCTTATCGGCAGCATAGAAATTCAGAGTCTGGAATGGTGTAGTGCCAGGCAACCAGCCTGTCCACAGGTGGCCCGGGGAGCCACACCTCTGCTCTCTAGTGGCTCACTGTACAGACTTTGCTCCATATACAAACTATTAAAAACACTGCATAGATTAACCTTTAGGCATGTGTACAGGTGCAGGTGAAGCAGAGGGACTTCATGTCTTGACTTTGGTCCCATCCCCAAGACATCTCACTCTATATATGCAGATTTTCCAAAATCTGAAAAAAATCCCAAATCCAAAACACTCTGGTCCCAAGCATTTTGGATAGGAATATTCAACTTGTATTTAGGTCCCTGATGTCCTTCTCCCCCCAACCCCTACCAGGACTCTGTGTAGAACAGACAGGGCCCACTAGAGGAGCCAAGCCTAGGGCTCCTTCCTGGTTGGCGTATTTAGGTCCCTGATGTCCTTCTCCCCCCAACCCCTACCAGGACTCTGTGTCAGAACAGACAGGGAGGGCCCACTAGAGGAGCCAAGCCTAGGGCTCCTTCCTGGGTGGCATGGCGACTCTAGTCTGAGAATTGCTGTCCAAGTTTTTAAATTTTTTAAATTAAAAATTATGGAGCTATAATTATATATTGCAATTCTGTAAGTATATATTTATAATATAAACAATATATAATGACACAAAAGTACAATGAACTCTCATGTCTGCATCTATCCATCATCCTTCAAAAGATCTGCCGTCTCCTTTCCATACACTTAATGGGCACCTCTGTCTTTCTCTGGTTAAAGGAATGACTAATACAGTGTATCCTTCTTGAATTTTCTGTATGCCTTGTACAACCTGCAGCAATTGGCCTCTGGTTATCATTGATGCGAGTGGGTGATATTCTTTACTGTTTTGTCTTTCACAGAGGTGTCAGCTCCTAGCCTTGAGAATGACCTGTTACTAACCTTTTCTGATTGGACCTTGTCTCTAACTAGCAAAAATTTATTATTTTTGGTTAGACATTATACTGAATTGGAATAACTTTGGCTACTGCATAAGGCTTGTGAGCTAAGTTGGAAGGTTTTGGTTTGACTTAAATATGAACTTTATATACAAACCTTTGAAAGTGTGAAGGAGAAAATGTAAGCAGTTTTTTAGCATCTGTATTTTATTACAAAAGCAGTCCTGTTATTTCTTTACAGTTAGGTCACAAGGTTATATTTTTGTTTTGTTTTGTTTTTTGTGTCAGAGTCTCACTCTGTTGCCCAGGCTGGAGTGCAGTGACACGCTTTTGGCCACTGTAGCCTTGACCTGCTGATCTCAGGCGTTTCTTCCACTTCAGCCTTTCAAGTAGCTGGAACTACAGGCTTGTGCCACCATGCCCAGCTGATTTTTTTATTTATTGTAGAGATGAGGTCTCGCCAAGTTGCCTAGGCTGGTCTTGAACCCATGGACCCAGGCAGTCCTCTCACCTCAGACTCTCAAAGTGCTGGGATTATAGGCATGAGCCTCCATTTCTGGCCTATTATATTTAAAGTTCCTAAAGCAGATACACCTGTAGTGACCATGCGATAATACCCCCGCTGGTGGAAGTGGGTGGCCCTCCTTCCTGTCCTCACCCCATAGGAAGCCGAGCACAAGCTGGAATTGCTGTCTTTGAGCCCACGTATTGGCTGAGAAACCCTTTAATGTGTATGTGGATGTGTGATTTCTGGATAAATTTTGAGTATGAATAAGAATATGTTGCTCCCATTCACTATTTTTATTTTTGAGTCGGGGTCTAACTTTGTTGCCCAGGCTGGAGTGCAGAGGCACAGTCACAGCTTACCACAATCTCAACTCCCTGGGCTCAAGCAATCCTCCCACCTTAACCTCCAGTAGCTGGGACTCAGGCATGTGCCATCATGCCTAATCTTTTTTTGAATTTTTTTGTAGAGACAAGGTCTTGCTATGTTGTCTAGGCTGGTCTCGAACTCCTGGGCTCAAGCAATCCTCCCCCCTCAGCCTCCCAAATGCTGGGATTACAGGTGTCTTCTTTGTTAACAATTTGATACAGTGTCTTCGTTTTATTTTCAAGCATGTATTGGAATAATTTTCACTCCTCCAGCTGGGTAAAGTGCCAACACAAGATGTAGGTTAGTTCTACCCTTGAACCTAAGGTGTAGATCATACACATGTTCTCCATTTGCAACAAACAGTAGGCAAGAAATTCTCATTAAATTAGTTTGAGAAATTCATTTTATTTTGTACAAGGTACAGTCCCTCTGCACAGTGAACAAATATATTACAAATCTGGTTTAAAAAAGTATTGCCATTTCATAATCTCATTACTGCTGTTGTATAATGTGTTTCATTCATTCATTTGAATTGTATGCATATCAGCTTATATAATTGAACATTTAGTTTTTGAAAAATACTGAACACATCTTTCTAAATTGCCAATGAAATGCACAGTGCACATGTTCAGGCTGACTGTAAACCTGTCTGACCATGCTGGATGTGAGATCCTAACAGGTGCTGTGTAAGAGGGAAGGGTCTTTCATGGTAACCCTTCACCATGTGCAGGTAGCTGTTGGCACCAGGGGTAGTCATGCCCGCCTTTCCCTGCTCCTCTGTATCGCCTGATTTGTGTTACATTCCTTTAAAAGGTCAAAAGCAGGAACGGAAGGGTTGCCAGGGCTCCCCTCCCACTCTCTACCTCTCCACTTCTTAATGCGTGCTTGTAACTTGGTGCTCAGCCATCTCTGCTCCTGGACACCTCAGAGGATGGTTGGCAGTGGGGAGTCAGAGCCTGAATGGCCTGCGTGCGTGTGTGCAACTTAGGTGGTCATTACTACACGCATGGGGGCGGGAGACCTGGGATGAGCAGGTGTCTCCTGACCTGACCTGTCATGCCCCCTCCTCTTGCATGAAGGGGTAGCACTTGCTGCCCTGGGACACCGAGTGATCCCCTATCTAAGGTTCCGTCTACATAGGTAAGAATATTTATGTGAGTCTACAGAGTAGTTTTCTAGTACTTATATTTTCATAAGGCTTTTCTGGAAAGTAAAGGAACTACTGCTGACGCTTGCCCCATGCACACATGCAGCATTCATGTAGGTGATGCAGTCTCCTCTAACAGTAGGGTTGGCTCACGCCTTGAGCGAGGGGGGTTACTTTCTGGTTATTGCCCAAACCTATGCGTTTCGTGACCGACTCCTGCTTGTATCCAGGCTTTGGAGCGCCACATTCCACCCCTCCTCCACACATTGTAGGAACTTTCACTGACTGGACCACACTAGAGAAGGGAGTGTGTGGGGTGGCCGCTGGTGTCCTGGTCACTAGGAGAGAAAGTCATTCTGAGGTGTGGAAGGGAGCCTTGAGCTCTGTTTTGCTCTTCCAGGACGGGGGGCTTCTGGCCTTTCTGGTGACATGGGAGGAAAACAATATATGCAAGTAGTTCTGTCCTGAAAAACCTGGGATGTGAAGCCATGGGCTGTCTGGTTCCTAGCAGGAGGGGTGTGCGTTCCCTGGGATGGTGTTGGCCCTCAGGGATGCGCCGTTTACTGTGACAGTTTCGCCTTGTATCGCAGCAGCTGGTTGTTTTCTGATCTCCTTCGTTTAGTCCATCAGAAAGCTCAACACACCTGGCACCTGACATCTCCTGACATTTTTAGTTTCCTACTACATGAAGCTCAGAATTTATTAACTGCTTGGAAGCATGTTCTCTTCTCCAAGCACATATGCTGGGGTGGCCTAGTAGCCATTTTTAGGGACACTTGGTTCTCACCAGTCTCACTGCTGACTGCTTTGCTTCACATGGAGTGACTTGGGTGTTGGATGGCTAAGAGCAATAACTGGGCTAGAACTGAAGCAAAGCTGGCCTAGAAATCATTGCCATAGACTGAGAGTCTGCTGTGCTTGGGGGAATTTCTTCTTTAAATGTACTCTCACTTACGGGGCAGGAGAGAGAAAGGTAATCTGTTAGCATCTTGTTTTTAAAAGTGGAGGTTGTCAGCATGAGACGTGACACTGACCCGTTGTTGGGCTGTCGTAGCTGCAGACATACGTGCAGGTCTTTGAAGACCAACCCTGCAGCAGTGTGTGTGTGCTATCCTGGTAGTACAGCGGTGTCAGCGGAGCATGGACACACATGTGGTGCCTCAGCACAGCCCTTCCCCTTCCAGCCCCTCCCTCTCAGGGCGGCCTGTAAAACCTGTTATCATGTTTCAGATAAATACAAATATATATAAGCTGTCATTAGCTGATATTGATGAATAGCTGTGTCTTAAAATGTTTTAAAAGTCATAATCAGGGCATTTGGGTGACAAGATTGGCCCTTGGGAATTCCTTGAACAATCCCATCCCCTGTGAACGCTCTTGCTTAGCTCCAGGTGAACGGAGTGGTTGACCGTTATTTCCGGGCAATGAGTGTCTTCTTTCAGAGAGTGAACTCGGAGCCCATGGCCAGGGAGATGCTCATCTCTCACGCCTGTTCGTCCCGGGAGGGTCTGCTGGCAGGGCTCTGTCTTACAGGGAGGAGGTCATAGTGACCAGGGACACGGCTGTTCCTGGGGAGGTCGTAGGGGCTGGTGCTGTGGTTGCGGCCCTCCGGGACCACGCTGACTGTGGGTTCTAGGAGGTGCAGTGAGAAATGTTCAGAGAACAGGTTAGCTGGTTGCCTTGCTGGAGAGTTCTGTGTCGCAGGGGAGGGGTGACATGCAGAGTATCCTGGGGGTCTCTTCTGAACCCAGGGACAGGCCACGCTGGGAGGAGGCAGAGGAAGGGGATTCTGACGCTTGAGAGTCAGTGCTGCCTGCTTTCTTTCTAAACTGGGATTTGCATCAGCAATCAGTTTAAGGGTGTGCACCACCTCCCTCCACCCTGCATTTGTTTCTTAATCAGTTCTGTTGTTTGTGAAGCAGATTTGGCATAGGAACCTGCCCCCGCATTAGAGAAGAGGCCAGACCTAGGAGACGGTTCACTTAGGACCTTCAGAAGCAACCCAGGATGTTCGTGTTGTGAGCCAGGTGGGGGGAGGGGCTGGCTTTGCCAACAGTGCAGCCCTGACTTCACTAGGGTCCTTGTTCAAGACACCTACCAAGGTCATATATGTTTTTATTAGATGCCGACAGGGACGGCACAGCTGTGTACGGAGACCCCCTATGCACAGGTGACTTCATCTCTACGTAGCTGCATTCCGGAAGCTTTCGGGGGATGACGGGTGGGTCCTTGATGGTGGCGTAGGGGTTTTCACTGCTGTTCAAGGAACAGGTGCTGGAGCTACACACAGATCCCTTCATGTAATCTGCAAGGCAAGAGAGCATTCTGAGGATGGCAAGGACACAGCCGTGCGTGGCTACTCAGTCTCCCTACTCAGTAAGTGTGTCAAGGAGCACCCTCCTAGCCAGGCAAGACCATCCCCCCCCAGAGAAACTTGCAGTTTTGGAGGATAGGGGCATGTTTAGTTTTATTAGTCTATTAATTACAGCTATTAGTATATGCTTTACAGAATTCTGAAAGCTGATTGATAGTTTGCATTTTATGGGGTGAAGGCCCAGGATGATGAAGCAACCTGACTAAGGTCACACAGCAGGAAATGAAGTGCCAAGACTCGAACTCAGGCCTTGGGACTCCTTGGCCTGTGCATTTCCTGTGATGTTACTCCTCTGAATTATTTTATTTTTTTTGACACAGGGTCTTGCCATGTTGCCCATGCTGGTCTCAGACTCCTGGGTGCAAGTGATCCTCTGGGTAGCTGGGACTGCAGGCTTGTCCCTGCGCCTTGCTGAGTCCTGTTTGATGACAGAGCTCAGGTTCAAAAGCAGGCATGGGTGTTCCAGCCTTTACGTGGCCCGCTTTCTGTGGCCCACCTGTCCTTTAGGAGCACGTGAATGTAACAGGTGGAGAAAGCACCTCCCTCGGCTTCCAGAGGGCCCTCGGGAAGCTCTTGTTTTCCCAGCGAGCCTGCAATGTCTGCGGGGCTGCCTCTGATGCTGGAACTCACCCCCAAGACTTCAGAGCACAGAATGAGCTGGCTCTAGGCATGAACAAAGTAACTGCAGTCCAGCCTCCACTCCCCTTGGGGAAGACTGCTGCCTTCCCTGGGTCATCCCAAGTGGACCTCTAGCAGGGCAGCTCTGACCCACATCTGGGAGGCTCTGCCTATAGCAGGCCTGGAAGCCATCACTGGGCTGTGGCTCTTGGCCGGCAGGGGCGATCTGAGGCTCCTTTGCTCTGCGTTTCTGTGGATGGGGGCAGTAGTGAGATTCCCGGTGGCCTGTCACCAGAACCACAGTCACATCTCAGGCTGCCATTCATCACACTTTCTGTCTCCAGCTCGGGAGAATAATGTCATTGTTAACAAGGGAAGGGATGGTGTGGCCCAGCAGGTAGCTCACACCCGCCTGCTGAGAGCAGAACACACATGGCTGACGTGTTCAGGTGTTGCCTCCATAGCAGGGGATGGATTTCTGTTAATGCCAGTGTCTGTTTCGGCAGGTGATAGTTCCTCAGCCCTGGATCTGAGTGCTTTGGCTGTGGGCTGTCAGGTGCTCACAGCACTTAGGGAGGTTGGGGAGCAGGAGCTACCCCCTTATGCTTATGAGGAGCCAGCTGTGGGGGACACTGGCCTCAGGGCACAGGGCTGTCAGGAGCAAGCCACACCTAGCTCAGCCCATGGCAGACAGAGAATGGCCCTGGCTTGTTGAGGTTGAAGCTTCCACTGCAAGTGACCTGAGAAAGGAGGCGAGGACATCCACTGAACTCTGGATAGGCCAGGGCCCCAGGGAGGTGCCTAGGGTGTACGTGGGAGGTGGCTGGGTCCCAGGCTGGGACTTGAATGGCCACACCTGCCTTTGGTGGCCACAAGGTCATGGTGGTGAGTCTGAGAGCCTGCGTGGCCCTTTGTCCCACCTTGGGACCTCTGACCCCTCCAGAGGGGGGAGTCTGTGGCTCAAGTGTGGGGTCTGGAGGTTAAGAGTGAGGACCCTATAAGGGGGTCACCATGGGTTCTCTGCCAAGTGCTGCCTGAAACTCGAGGAAGGTTGAGCTCACTTTGTGCAGAGCTTAGTCATTCCAGTCAGGTCACCCAGTGGACAGGGGCAGCCAGCGGGGACTCCTGCCCCCTCAGAAGTGAGGAGAGTGCAGCCCATGAGCTCATGTTCCCTGAGAGTAGACTCACCCCCAAGACTTCAGAGCACAGGATGAGCTGGCTCTAGGCATGAACAAAGTAACTGCAGTCGATGGACCTAGGACCCGAGAAGGGATTCCAGGACCCCATGTGCCACCTGGGCCTCCAGGTCACACTGACATCCTCACAGCACAGCTTAGATGACTGTGGGATGCCCAGGCTCCAAGCCCCTCCTGTCCTTGGCTTCTAGGCCCCAAGCCCCTCCTGTCCTTGGCTTCCAGGCCCCAAGCCCCTTCTGTCCTCGGCCTGCTCCTTAGCGGCAGGCCACATGGCCTCTTGTGGGCCAAGGAGCACCTCTCTTCCTGGAGACAACGGGCACATCCCAGGTCAGGAGGAGAGTGCAGCCTATCAGCTTTCAGGAGGGCACCAGGCACCTTACCACCTAAGACTTAAGGCTGCAACACAGAGATATTGGAGGCTAGGAGATCAGGAGCATGGGGTGGGAGGGGCTGTGAAGACCCGAGGCTGGGAGGTCTCTTCTTCAGTGCTTGAGGCCATCTGTTGCAGACTCTCAGCAGAGGGGGGTAGGGAGGGAGTTGCTGGTGGCGATAGTCCCAACCCTCCCCAGGATGAGGTGACTCCCACTCCCCACAGGATGAGGCGAGTCCCTCTCCCCTCCTAGGATGAGGCGAGTCCCACTCTCCCCCCCCATGATGAAGTGAGTCCCTCTACCCTGCTAGGATGAGATGAGTCCCATTCTCCCCTGCAGGATGAGGTGAGTCCCACTCCCTCCCAGGATGAGGCGAGTGAGAGGGGACAGAGTGAAGGAGGACCCAGCATTCCAGAGCTGGACAGGCCTGGAGATGGTGCTGGTGCAGCCCTGCCCCTTCCTAGTGGGAGAGGCCAAGGCCTAGAAACTGCTCTGACCTGGCCAGGGCCACCCCACAGGACTCCCAATGGGGGCTTGTGTCTGGCACACCCAGCAGGGCTTTCCCCTGGCATGGACATACTTAGGCTCCTCATTCTTAGCGGTTCTGATGTGCTTTAACCCAGTGATTTTAGGAAAAAGTTTAGTTGGTGACACAAGCTAGTTGGTACCATGTTTATTTGGGGGTTTGATTATGAGTGGGGTTTCCACCCATCTCTGAAGAGTGCTGTGTGGCACAGGCCCTGTGCCTTCCCTCTGAGTTCTCCTGTCCTGATCAGTAGGTCCTAGCACCTGCTGGCCCGCTGGCCACATGGCTCCCTCTAACTGGAAGGGTGATGCAAGGTGGGTATGCAAGACGGGCTAGCGGAGGCCCTCCCTGTGCTCAGAGGTAAGATGTCAGATGCGTGACCCACAGAACAGGGACAGGGGTACTGGGGAGATACATGACCCACAGAACAGGGACTGGGGGCTGGGCAGACACGTGACCCACAGAATATGGATGGGGGCTGGGGAGACACATGACCCACAGAACAGGAACATGGGAGCTTAGAGAGACAGGTGACCCACAGAAAAAGGACAGGAGAAGGGAGGCTGGGGAGACAGGTGACCCACAGAAGAGGGACGGGGGGCTGGGGAGTCACGTCATCCATAGAACAGAGATGGGGGCTGGGAGAACACATGAGCCACAGAACAGGGACGTTGGGGGCTGGGGAGACACGTGACCCACAGAATAGGGACTGGGGGCTGGGCAGGACATGTGATCCGCAGAATAGGTGTGGGAGGTGCTGGGCAGATACTGTCCCTTAGCTGTTTCCATGTGGCTGTGGGTTCCACAGCTAAGGACAGCAGTTCTTGGGGAGTTCTGTGTGTGTCCACGGGGCGTCTGGTGTGTCTGGGCTGATTCGCGCTCGAGTGGGTTGGAGCTGAAAGAGTCCTGAGCTTCTGGCCTAGCCCCATTCCCCAGTGAAGCAGACACAGAGGTGCTGATCCTTCTGTTTTCAGCTCACCCCCGTAATGGGGCTGGCTCCCCTGGTGATTCAAGTTGAAACTCACAGAACCTGCTGGAAGAATGTCCACAGGGCTGGTGCTCCGGGCACTCCTGTCCTCAGGCCTCCGGCTCTACTATCCCAGTGAGGTGACACTGACCTGCTGCTCTCGTCAGAACACCAGCTCCCTAGGGCTTCTGACTGCAGCTTGGACCTGCCTCCCCCAGCTGCAGATGCACGGTCCTTGGAGAGGAAACACGTGTGTCTTGGGTGTGTCCTGGAGCAGTCGGGGACCTGGGGCCATTAGACAGTGGTTTCCAGAGGGCAGTTGGGGATCAGCTGTAAGACATGCTGAGGTCCTCTCATGAATGCAGATTCCAAGGCCACCCTAGGTCTCTGCTCCCCAGGTGGTGAGCAACCAGATTCAGGCCACCCACTGGGACCGTGGCCATCACATCCCTCTTGAGTAGACCTCAGGGACAGGCAGCTGTGACATCAGCATCTCTCATGTGCAGGACACCTTCTGACTCTTGGGAGGTGTGGCACCTGGCTGGACAGCAGGATGGCCGTGGTCACGCCTGCCTTGCTGATGAGGAAGCCAAACTCCAGTGCACAGCCCCGGGTCACAGTTAATAGGAATGGGGCGGTGACGGTCCTGGGCCTGTTCCACACATCTGGCATTTAACCCGAGGGCCCACACGGGCCAGATTGGGCATCCATCCTGCTTTGCCTGAGGCTTCCCAGGGAGTGAGCGACTGCGGCAACTCTGGACCCCAGGCGCTGGGGCTTCTCATGGCTTCTCTGTGTCTGATGCGGAGTTGAGGCTGGAGTCCACACAGCATCAACACTGGGTGTCACGCTCACTCTTCGAGCCCCAGAGAGCCAGCAGGGGCTGTACGGTGTCCTCGCCAGCACAGCCATGGGAGGCCTCTGGGCAGGTGGGTGGGCTTTACTTCAGGTTTCATAATCAAGTTAACTCGCGCTCATTGGCTGGATGATGGCCTGCACTTCTGAGGGTGCTCGGCAGGCATCTCCCGGGAGCCATGCATGAGCTGAGCAACCGCCACCGGTCAGCACTCATGCTGCCGAGGCTGCTCTGGGCACAGCTGCCCGGCCCCTGGGGTCTCTCAGCTTTGTGAGGATGCACATCCTCCCCTTTGTGGATTGACTGCCTTAGCCCTCACTGACACGGGGGCTAGCACTCACCTTTGAAGCCTTTGTCCATGATGTAGGTATTCTGCCGTCTGTCCACGCCGCAGGCCCCTGGACAGACAGGGAGAGCACAGCTGAGGTGTGGCTGGCTGTGCCCCTGCTCCCGCAGCTCCGGCCTTCTTCGCCCCCGAGAACACAGGTGTTTATGGCTCGCATGCGGCTCTGGTCCAGTCTCCCCGCATGGTGAGGAGTCTCAGGGTCTGGGTGGCTGCAGCACCCGGCATGTCTGGCGATCCCCTGCCTCGCCCTGGGAGCTCTCCCAGAGCTGATGAAAGATGGTTCTGATGCCACCTGAAGTCCCCGCAGAAGCTCCAGGCCCATGTGGAGCCGAAGCAGGCGGCAGGGCCAGGTTCAGCCAAGGAGGCTGTATGGGCCAACCTGGTACTGGCGGGTTTGGGTTTGGAGATAGAGCTTCTCACCCCGTGCAGCCCTGGCCCTGCCTCTCCCCTTGAGGGAGGCACATATCAGGGAAGCCAGAGAGTGGTGGCCAGGCCTAGGAGCTCCAGGAGCCGTCCCACTATAGCCAGTCCCAGCTTTTCTGTTTTGAGTCGAGGCTGGAGTGCAGTGGCACAATCACGGCTCACTCAGCCTCGACCTCCTAGGTTCAGGTGATCCTCCTGCCTCAGTCTCCTGAGCAGCTGGGACTACAGGTGTGCACCACCACGCCCGGCTAATTATTTTATTTTATTTTTGTAGAGTCAAGGCGTTGCCATGTTGTCCAGGCTGATTTTGAGCTCCTGGGCTCAAGCAAGCCTCCTGCCTCAGCCTCCCAAAGTGCTAGGATTACAGGTGTGAGCCACCATGCCCAGCCAGGTCCCCGTTTTCGGGAGAACCATGTGCACAGAATTGAGAGCTGTAGTGAAAACACTATTAGTGTTTTCCCCAAGAATTTATCTCTCCCTCTGACTGTCAGTGCTCCTGGGCTCCCATTGAGCCTGGCCCTGAGCCCTAGCCAGAGGCAGCATTCGAGCCTCTAGGCAGGCTGGGCTTCCTTGCTCTGGTGGCCCCAGAAGATCGGCTGGCAGGAACACTGGGCCCATCTTCAAAGCTGTGGCCCAGCTTCTAACTGAGGACACTGCAGCAAACAAGTCATACAGCAAGTACTTACAAGAGCACAGCTTGACTCCATTTGACCCTCCCTGGTTTTGACACTGAAGACCCCCCCATTGCTATTCAGAATCCCCCCCTCCTTCAGAGTTCACCCCACAGAGCTCCCACATGACTTTGCAGGTGCTCACTCCCGTTTGCCAAGTGACATGGCAGGGCCAGGCCAGGTCTGTGCCCTCCAGGAACATGACAGCCACATGCTAGGGCCGGCGGCAGCCCCATGCCTCACGCCTGACAAGACTTCCTTGGCTGTTAGCACCCCTCACAGAATAGGAAGCAGGCCCAGGGGCAGCAGGGACATGGCCAAGCCCACACAGCCCGTTGCAGCCAAGCTGTGCCTGGAGCCTGGTCTCCCTGGATGCAAGCCTGCCTGGGCACAGCCCCACGGTGATAGTGCATGGTGCCCAGGTGAAGAGCAGGGTGTGTGAGGTGGGGGAAACCCAGCCCCAGCATAGGGGATGCTGCCGCATGGAAGAAGACACAGGGTGGCTGTGTGGGTTAGCAAACACCTGAACACTGCGAGGGCTCCACAGCCTCCTGCTGTAGCTCAGCGTCTGTGTAGCCCATGTCTGCTTGTCCCAGAGCCTGCAGCAGCTGGGGTCCAGGATCCGCGAGTGCCTGAGCCCTGGCCCCATCCAACTGTGTTCTCTTCTAGGACGCCTCCCACTGTGATGCCCCCAGGCCTGGTCAGGCCAACTCCTGTTCCCTGCAGAGTCCTCCATGCCCCCTGCTGTGCTAGGAGCGTGAGTAGGGAGGATGCCACTGATGCCTCCCGCCCAGCCACCCGGACCCTCCTGGACAGCCCTGCCCAGCTGCTGGGGCAGTTGGCAGACCACTGGGGCCTAGGGCCTCTCTCCAGGGAACACTAAGGCCAACCTGTCACCTTCCCCAGCAAGGTCCACAGAACCCCATGTGCTGCCATCCCCAGGCCTTTCTCCATGACTGGGCAGGGTTCTGTGGCCTGTGGGGTGCTGTGTCCCCTCCCCTCAATGGGCCAGTCTGTCCCTGCAGACTCTATGGGAGTGGGGGTGATGGGAAGACCCAGACAGGTCTCTTCCTTTAGACAGGGGCTGGGCTGTTGAACTGATCGTGTTGGGGTGGGGGCGTCGGGTGCAGGGCAGGGTAGGGTGTGTGCGAATGTGGGTGGGGCGGGGGTCTGACCTGGCACGTGGGGCTCAGCGGGGCGGCTGAGGTGTCTGAGCTCAATGTAGAAGTCCTCAGGTGGGTACCTGGCCTCCAGGGCACTGATCTGGAAATGGGAGTCTAGTGAGAGGAAGGACGGAGGGGCTGTTACTCCCAGGCCCTGGGAGTGGAGAAACACGCAGGGATGGGGAGGGGTGCATGAGTCAGGGTGGGGGTGGGACAGGTGGATGTGGGTGGGCCAGTGCAGGGGTAGAGGCTGTGTGAGCTGGGATGGGGGCTGGCACAGGGTACGGGCCTGGGCCAGTACGAGGGTGGGGCAGGCAGACAAACTCGTGGCCTCTGCAGGCAACCTCCATGGGGCTCTCTCACGACCATCCTCCCCAGGAATCTGTGCCTGCCGGGGGCGGGTGGTGCCCGTGGAGAGCGTGTGGCAGGGCCCAGGTCAGCCAGGCCCCTTCCCAGGAGAGGTGCCCTTGGCCTC